TTTTTCATACTTTCTATTTATTCTATTTATTTTATTCATTCTTTATAAAATAGGTAGCGTAATAAGAGGATTTTTTACGATTCGTAAGAAAGATCCGCAGAATCGTCTACCTACATCGTCTACTTGCTTTAATCTTCTTAAATTACCAAATTATCAAAAGAAAAGTACCTTACGGGAGAAGTTACGTTACGCTGTCACTAGTAATACGGGCTTCGAACTTTCATAATTTTCACCTGGTTTAAGGTAATTCCAATGCATACTATATGCTCAAATTACCTAACGAAAATTTCTACGAAGTGATTGAGTGGTGCCTAACCGCCGCGAACCAAATTGTCAGGCGAGGTGTTTCTAGTAATTATGTCAGAGACTCTAGATCGAAGAAAAGCATAACTCGCACTTATATTATTTGTAAAACAAAATTTTTGAATGAATTTATTGAAACGAAATTGAAGACTCGCACAAATTTTATGAGATATTATCCATATAAAGAAACAAAGTTTTTGCTTTCCTTATCATTTTGTTATTTCTTTTTTTTTATTGTAAGAAATTTCTAATGTTCCTATCGATCAATTTGACACGAGATTAATTTATAGTTATAATAAAAAATGAATTACTGTTCTATCTTGCTGTTTCTGAAATTTTTATGAGATTTATGTCTTCTGTCTTATTTCGTATACAATAGTACTGTGTGTTGAATTTACCTTGTTTTCACAGCACATATTCAAGTTTTGAAGTTTCATTCTATAAAACTTCTCGCCAAATGGTAGATTACTTATGGTGTAAAGCACACTGTACCTCATGAGCTTAATATTGCTAATACTGTGCGCTTGTTAGTTTATAGTATCGTGAATTAATGTTAGTCTATTAAATCGATAAAATGCATGACGCGAGTGTTGAATCCGAGCCCATCGGTGCCCGGTGAATAAATAAAGAGGAGAAAAAAGAAGAAAAAAAAAAAAAAAAGATAGGAAAAGGAAGAGGTCCGTAAATTTCTAAAATTGTCGAGTTATTTGAAAGTCAAGGCTCCATTTTGGGGAAAGCTATTTTCGCAAGATTTTGTACAAATTTTTGACACGATGTATAAAAAGATTTATATAATCTTGTTTGGAAATATATACGTGTATATATTGTGTCCACGGGCGCTCATGGGTTGAAAATCCATAACCGTTCGAGTGTTTAAGATCGGTTTGTTCGGATCGAACGAAGTTGTGATGTTTGTTCTCCTATTTGAGCATTTCGAGCTGAATTTCCTGTAACTGCAGTTTGTCCGTGATCTTCGATGACCCCGAACGAACGTGAGAAAATGGAAAACGAGGGAGCATCAGGACTGTGTTATCCGCGATATAGCGAGGAATACGATATTACAGCGAAATTTATTTTTCTCGTGGTTTACGCGTAACTTCGACGAATGACTCGCGATATTGTCGGTGGAAATTCGGTCAGACCAAAGATAGAAGCCTATTTAGTGTGAAGAAGATAATTCGAGATGTAATCTTTTCATATTTTCCTATACGACCGTATGTAAGTTTTTCAGGCCTGTATTCACCGATTGTACCTATGCTGTAGAAGAGTAATAAAGAGCGAACATTTTTTAAAGAGATAGAACGAGAAGTTTACAAGTAAATTAGATTAAATCGTGTACCAACTAGTTTACTAACGTCCACAATGTGAATACTAGCTAACGAATTATTTTGATTATGTATAGAAAGAAGAAAACGCGGAACATAATAACTTTGGCTTTTGTTACTTTCTATCAGAATCGATAACCAGTTTCTCTTGTAATGTTAATTGTGAATACATGCCTTGCAAATATATGTACAATTGAACAAAGTAGTAGATGATACTTTCCTTTATGAATATACATACTTATCGTTGGAGCGATACATGTATGTGATAAATGTGGATATCGATACAAATATGGAGTAAGATACGAAATAAAATTGTTACGATTGTAAGATGAAACCGATGGCTTCTTATTCAATATCCGTTCTTGTTAACGCGGATCATTTTTCTATTTTAGACATTACGCTAAAAAAAGAATATACAAACACGATATAAACGAGTTTTCCTTACAATCGTATCAATAGCAAAAAAGCGCGCTTTGTATAATATGGCTTGCTCGAGTTACTCGTACTTCTGTAACATTTTTTATAAAAGTGTATACATATTGCGACGCAGTTGAGAGAACAACGGTGAATTTGTTAATTTAATACATTCGATAATAATTCACAAAGATACTGTAAATATACACACTGAATTACATCATGCCTTTCAATTATATTATCCTATAACAATCATACCTGATATCTCGGTGTAAAATTTAAAAAAAGGACTCTATTCGAGGCGCCACGGTATATGAAATTAATCTGCTCATTTTTAAATCAGTCAACGCTATATTTGGGCAAATAATAAACAATCGTTCGATGCTTTATATAATAAACGTTCTTATAACATTTATTAATAAAACGAACGAATAATATAACATATAAGCGAAGGATATATGTAGAGTTTGGTGCGGTTTTACAGTCGTATTTACAAGGATGCAAAGATCGCTGGGACGGTTGCGCGTTGGCTTAGTGCGCAGGTCACGTGACCTCCTTTGTGAGCAGCTGGCGCTGTCGACAGTGTAAGTTACCTTCCCCTTCGACTAGTGGCCAACAAGCTTTGGCTGCGAGAAGACGTGCGTTTAGTTCGTACCGCGACGATCGCATTATCGCGGCTACGCGAGAGACTCCTTTTCTCTTTCTCTCCCTCTCTCGCTCGTGTGTGCGCGCGCGCGTGTTTTCGTGTTTGTGTGTGCGTGCTTAATCTGTACGAGAAGTGGCAGTGTTTCTGGCTCGGCCGTAGGACCCGGACAGTGAGGAAATCATTCGTGAAATTCGGAAAACCGCCGAACAAACTCGGCCGCCCCTCGTAGCCGGAATCGCTGTGGCCATCGAGGACTCGACCGAGCCTTTCAGTGTTCCCTCGTTCCTTTCTCTGTTTCGCGCTACTGTGTTTCTTATGGACAAGCACCGCCCCCTTTCCACCTCCGTCCCTCCGATCGTAACGTTATGAGGCCAGCTGAGCGTAACTGACGGAGAAGAGGGAGAACAGGCTTGCGTGCGTGTGTCAAACATAACCTAGCATCGTTACCGTGGATGTAGCGAGAGTAAATCTAACGAAAAAACGTGACACGCGTTCAGTTTTAATAATTCCGCATTGGTGACATTCACGCATCCAATAGCTCTTCTGGTTTAGAAAGCGCATCGAGCGTCAAAGGATTCGGTGGGAACTACGAAAGTGTTGTTCTTCCTTTCTCGACAGTACCGAGTAGAAACGTCCGAACACGCAACGCCCCGTTTACTATCGACAGTGCTAAGGAATACTTACACGAGGACACCGCCTCTACTCCGAAGGTTACCCTTCGCATGTATCGTTTTTGCCATAAGTCGCGATAAAAGGACGCGACGTCGAGCCGCAGCGTCGAGCGTGGTGTCACGAGTCCCCTTTGCCTCTCGTGCTTCTCAAGCTTCAGCCCTTCCCGCCGTACCTCGAGAGCGCGCGACATTCGAAACTGAGCTACGTAATATTCCATCAGAACGCAATTTGCAATTTTCCATCGAAACTCGTCGATTTCCATTATCGTGATCGACGATCGAATCACTCGATCCAGGGAATATTCGCGTGCTTCTCGAAATATGGAATCGAGAGCTATATCGAGATCTATCGACTTCTAAGTTGATACGGCGTGTCTATTAGTCAATCCTTTTTTTGGATAACAGTGATCTTACAAGAATCTTATCCAGTTTAATCGTTGAAAGCCAAAAAAAGTCGTTTCGAATGCTCTCATCGCTATTGTGGTGAAACGGAAACGAGAAAAAGAACTTCAAGTTGTGTCAGTGTCACGTGTGTGCCCCGTCACTGGGACGATAACGAGATATCTAATAGAGAAAGAAGTGTTTGATCGAACAGGTGAAACAGAGTGAGCAGGAAAAATCGAAACGGTCGGAAAAGAATCGACGAGCAGGAGAGGCGTGTCCCGGCTTCCCTGAAGCGGCAGGGGCCTTGGCGGTGGCGGTGGCGGTGAATCGGGAAAGGGTTGAGGAGGGTGGCCCCTAGGGAGAGAGGAGAGTTTTGATGGCAGTAGTTGGGCCCAGTCGGCACTCGCGGGTGTCCATGAGCGTGTCTATGTCGCTAATGCAGGGGGGTGGGGCG